GCGACCATCCAAGACCATGTTGTACTGGTCTAGTACTTGTGAGAGGCAGGAGCAACCATCCAAGACCATGTTGTACTGGTCTAGTAGTTGTGAGAGGCACGAGCGATCTCTTCTACCCATGCTGCCCTGCTTTGTGCAACTGTTGTAAACCCGCATGCCCAGCCATCTTGCTTCTTACAACTCTCTCAGAGACTTTGGTAATATGGAACGTCAGTGGTGTCGGTCTATAGTGTTCAACGGTTGCTTCGCCGCCACCTTTTCTTTTATCGAATGAATCTATATGAGCAGTTTTGAATGTCTGTGGAATGACTCGTGTGACCTGACTCCCTTTCCATAGAATATTAAAGGCAGGTGAGAGTGAGGCAGCGACTGTGACCACCACCAGGTCACCTCTACTTCTTATTTGGGAGATTATTATTATTATTATTATTATTATTATTATTATTATTATTATTATTATTATTATTATTATTATTATTATTATCATCATCATGCGTGGCTTTATAATAATCATCCTAGCAAAATATTCTAACCCTTATGCGCCAGTGTTTTAGGACGAAAACCCGATTATCTGTACTGGACCAGACCAGGAATGCCCTCTTGAGCAACCAGACTGTTGGTGGTGGAGGTAGGCAGCAGCAGTCGCCACGTCATAACAGAGGTTTTAACAGCTGAGATTAACGCTGTTGTTTTTTACTGTTGAAGGCTACGTTAATCACAACGAGGCTTAGCGTGAGGCTCGTTAACCTGTCTGGTTAATCTGACATTTATAACATTGACCTTCGTTAACTCACCTCTCAGTGACCTGTATTGACCTGACCTGGCCCTTGTTAAGTCAGGTCGTTTAATTGTTGATGTTGACTGACACAACTGCTGCTGTTTGACACACCTGCTGTTGACTGACATACCACCTGCTGTTGTTTGACACACCTGCTGTTGTTATTAGACACACCTGCTGTTGTTAGACACACCTGCTGTTGTTAGACACACCTGCTGTTGTTATTAGACACACCTGCTGTTGTTAGACACACCTGCTGTTGATAGACATACCTGCTGTTGCTTGACACACCCGCTGTTGACTGACATATCTGCAGTTGTTTGACACACCTGCCTTCTGTTGTTTGACACACTTGCTGTTGACTGACATACCTGCTGTTGTTTGACACACCTGCCTGCTGTTGACACACCTGCTGTTGACTGACATACCTGCTGTTGTTTGACACACCTGCCTGCTGTTGACTGACATACCTGCTGTTGTTTGACACACCTGCCTGCTGTTGACTGACATACCTGCTGTTGTTTGACACACCTGCCTGCTGTTGACACACCTGCTGTTGACTGACATACCTGCTGTTGTTTAACACACCTGCCTTCTGTTGACACACCTGCTGTTGACTTACATACTTGCTGTTGTTTGACACACCTGCCTTCTGTTGTTTGACACACCTGCCTGCTGTTGTTTGACACACCTGCCTGCTGTTGACACACCTGCTGTTGACTGACATACTTGCTGGTGTTTGACACACCTGCCTGCTGTTCACACACCTGGTGTTGACTGACATATTTGCTGTTGTTTGACACACCTGCCTTCTGTTGTTTGACACACCTGCCTGCTGTTGACACACCTGGTGTTGACTGACATACTTGCTGTTGTTTGACACACCTGCCTTCTGTTGTTTGACACACCTGCCTGCTGTTGACACACCTGGTGTTGACTGACATACTTGCTGTTGTTTGACACACCTCCCTTCTGTTGTTTGACACACCTGCCTGCTGTTGACACACCTGCTGTTGACTGACATACTTGCTGTTGTTTGACACACCTGCCTGCTGTTCACACACCTGGTGTTGACTGACATACTTGCTGTTGTTTGACACACCTGCCTTCTGTTGTTTGACACACCTGCCTGCTGTTGACACACCTGGTGTTGACTGACATACTTGTTGTTGTTTGACACACCTGCCTGCTGTTGACAGACCTGCTGTTGACTGACATACTTGCTGTTGTTTGACACACCTGCCTGCTGTTCACACACCTGGTGTTGACTGACATACTTGCTGTTGTTTGACACACCTGCCTTCTGTTGTTTGACACACCTGCCTGCTGTTGACACACCTGGTGTTGACTGACATACTTGCTGTTGTTTGACACCTGCCTTCTGTTGTTTGACACACCTGCCTGCTGTTGTTTGACACACCTGCCTGCTGTTGACACACCTGCTGTTGACTGACATACTTGCTGTTGTTTGACACATCTGCCTGCTGTTGACACACCTGCTGTTGACTGACATACTTGCTGTTGTTTGACACACCTGCCTGCTGTTCACACACCTGGTGTTGACTGACATACTTATTGTTGTTTGACACACCTGCCTTCTGTTGTTTGACACACCTGCCTGCTGTTGACACACCTGGTGTTGACTGACATACTTGCTGTTGTTTGACACACCTGCCTTCTGTTGTTTGACACACATGCCTGCTGTTGTTTGACACACCTGCC